ATACAGAACGATATTTCAACGTCCAGTGTAATCAGAACCGAAAATGTTCCCCGTGTGACCCGAACTTCCCTTCAGTGTAATGTGAACCCCACTCCATTCCAGAACTCCCCATCCCAGGACCCCCCCCCGCCCCCATTCCAACCCGTCCATCATCCCCTATCTACTCCTTACCTATGAAACTTGGCTGTGTTCACAAATGTCTGACACAGAGCAGCCCCCTGCTGCCTCTCACCTTGTGACTGGATACAAAGTACAGACAGATCACTGGGGGAGGGGAGACTGAGGAAATGCTTCCTCCTGCCTGCAGCAGACTGATCACTGGGGGAGAGGAGACTGATCACTGGGGGAGGGGAGACTGATCACTGGGGGAGGGGAGACTGATCACTGGGGGAGGGGAGACTGAGGAAATGCTTATTCCTACCTGCAGCAGACTGATGACTGGGGGAGAGGAGACTGAGGAAATGCTTATTCCTACCTGCAGCAGACTGATCACTGGGGGAGGGGAGACTGAGGAAATGCTTATTCCTACCTGCAGCAGACTGATCACTTGTGGAGGGGAGACTGAGGAAATGTTTCTTCCTACCTGCAGCAGACTGATCACTGGGGGAGGGGAGAATGAGGAAATGCTTCCTCCTGCCTGCAGCAGACTGATGACTGGGGGAGGGGAGACTGAGGAAATGCTTCCTCCTGGTTGGTGTGAGTCGGGTCACATGACATCGCGTTGTAGGGGATGATTGGAGGAAGATACATTGTTGCAGACACTCACCCCGTGTGACAGGAGAAGGAGATGAGACTCCGGTAGGTCAGCTCCTGGTAGTGGATTTGCCCGTTGTCCAGGGGGCCGGGTTTGGGGCATTGCGTAGCTGCCAACACAGAGACACCATCAGATCCGAAATACGGGGAGAGGAGAACCGATGGAGTCATGTCAGAGAAAGATGGCTGCTTATGGTGTATGTAAATTAGGGGGAGGAGACAGAACATCCTATGTAAATGAGGGAGAGGGGACAGGGTCTGTGTATCATATGTAAATAAGGGGGAGGAGTCAGATACTATATACACCCCCCCTGTAGCCGGTCGTACTCACGTTTACACTTTAGGGTGGAGTGCTCCCAGTTCCCGAAGATTGAGCAGACGGCTTTGTTGTGTCCGGACTCTCTCTCGTACCCCGGAATACAGGAATAGGTCACCACATCCCGGGGGGCGTACACCACCTTGCCGGGTCTGAGGGCCGCAGATTGGATCTCCCGGGGCCGCCCACACACTGGAGATCATGAGAAAAGGTCACAACACCCAGAGCTGAGACTTCAGTGTATTCCGTGTTCTGGAGAGTACGGCTGACAGTAACTAGTTCCCTTCATATGTAAATTAGGGGGAGGAGACCAATTCTGGGTATTATATGTAAATTAGGGGGAGGAGACCAATTCTGGGTATTATATGTAAATTAGGGGGAGGACACAGGTTCTGGGTATCATATGTAAATGAGGGGGAGGAGACAGGTTCTGGGACTCATATGTAAATTGGGTGAGGAGACAGGTTCTCTGTGTCATATGTAAATTAGGGGGAGGAGACCGGTTCTGGGTATCATATGTAAATTTGGGGGAACCAGTTCTTGCAATCATATGTAAATTAGGGGGAGGAGACCAGCTCTGGATATCATATGTAAATGAGGGGGAGGGGACTGGATCTGGGTATCATATGTAAATTAGGGGGAGGAGAC